CATTTAAAAAAGTCAAGAATTAATGTTAAGTCTGAGCGGTCTTAGTACTTATTTATATCATACCTTTGAGTTATGTTCTGTGGTTCCAATTCAAATGCTGTCAAATTTATTTTTTGATTGTCAAAATTTGTAAGCAGTAACGACTTGTGATGTCATAGCTTACTATTTTCAACTTTACTTATTATTACCCAAATTTATATTAACTCAAGGATTACATCGCTAAAAGAATTACCATGACTTAAAAAAAAAGTGGGATCTGTTACTCATTTTTGTTGTGGTAAACACTATGCCGTTAGGTTTTGTCTTGAAAGTAAAACATTTTTTTTCTTTCTTTCTCAATAACAATGTAGACGACATAATCAAGGCAATCTCTTGTCAGACAGTCTATTGGAAATTTATACCAAAAAAGTACATAATTAACATACTTAAGTACTCTGCCAAAACATGTTTTGAGCAACAAATGGGCAATACAACTAATAACTAATTAACTACAAATTTCGAGTTACAGTTTTTTACCGACCTTTAACCATAAACTATTCGAATATTTCAGATTTTGTTTAAAATGAATATGAAAATGGTGTAAACTCCTTCAAATGTTTAGTTTATATTACAGAATAGATTCACGGATCTATTAAGTGTGAACTTCTATCGTGTATGTCCAGTCATTAGGTTCAAAATGTTGAAAAAAAAATCGTTCTCCTGAGTACAGTTAGGCGATATTAAAAAATATTTGTTACACAATATTGAACTATCAAGTTCTAAGATTGGCCACGAAATAAGTAAAACCTCTTTATACGTTAGTCAATGAACTTTGGAGAAAGATTTTTTCCTTATCGGGGTGTCGGCACCAACACTTGTCCGCGTACGCCCAATTACTTTTGAAGCAAAAAGCGCTGAGTCACCTGCGCAGGCGCATCGAACCACTGCCCGTGACGTCTGCTCCAAGCGAGCGCTTTACTTTCTAAGATTTTCGGTACGATCTTTGTGATTAAGTGTATCTTGAGTATTACAAGTTTTATAAAAATATATTTTAGGATCTGCCTATACTAGCAGTCCAGCCGTTGACGGTGTGGTGACGGATTAAGAATACCGAGTGTCACCACCCCTATTCATCCCATGGGTGTTATAAGAGCCGACTAAAGGAGCAAATTATGCAGGATACCAGCACTGCAAAGAGAAGGAAAACTGGGAAGGAAAAGGTTTGTTTCAACCCTACACGAACCCGTCTGGCCAGCGTACTCCAAAACCTCCTTTCTAAGGAGAGGCCTATGTCTCTGTCTATGACTACTAAAGTCTGTTGGTCTAAAAAAAGGCTAAAGTCTTAGGTATGCAGTCTTTTAACAACGATTTAAAGGGCGCTTTTAAAGGCTATATAAACAAAAAAATAGGAAAAATGTAGACGGTAGCTAGATCAAACCACACCTATAATCGGTGCGGGATACCATAAATATTATCACTTGATTACCGTCCACCGTGAAGCGGAAACGTGACACGTGACCGCCGCTGCGGTCTCCCGCCAATTTGTAAAAATGGCGGCCCTTTCCACGAGTCTCGACTGATTACTTAGGTAAATTGGGATCGTTTTGTTGGTCAACTTAGTTGTGAAATGAACTGTGTTTAGTTCGAAATCCTCTGTTTTCTATAATTGCGGTTAATCTGATTCTAGATTCTTAATATTACGACACTTGCGTATCAGGATTATCAAGTGCTTAAGGAAGACTCACACGATCTAGCTCTTGGCTAGTCATTTAGAGAAATTGAGAATGAAATCCGAAGGAACAAATAGAGGTTACCAGTTTGAGACATAAGATATAAAGAGTTAAAATTGGTGAATGTTAAATCTTTATGTTTTTAATGGCATAGGGGGCCAAACGAGCAGACGGGTCACATGATGGCTGTGGCAACTCCCACATACAAAGAAACAGAAACATACCAAAGCGTCATCTAACGAAGACACACCGAACTACAGAGTAACTCCTGAATGAGAATTGCTAATCCTGTATCGCGATATGAAGAATTCTCTCGCCGATTATCATATATACACCTTCCCAACATCAACCGTTGGTCCGCGGCCCGCCAGGCTTGATCACGTCGCATTTTGTGTTGGAGGGACATGACACCCCTTTCTCCACATTGGTAAGTGAATACCTCCACCTATGGACACCTGTAACTCCAGAGCCACAAGTGCGATGCCGCCCATTGAGAGAGAATCAGGGCAAGGGGGAGTTTGAGCTCCGGAAAACTCACTAACTCGGTAAAAGCAATGAAAAGATTTCTAAAAGAAAAAAAAAAAGTTTTCTTGTGGAGTCTAACATAGCTCACATAGGATCTAAATGAGGCATTCCGTTTGACAAATGTCTAACCGTGGAAGAGCTATGTTTCGGCACAAATGGGGCGACTCGACCGGAGGTATACCAAGGCCTCACAGAAAACCAATGTTAAGTAAATATTTCGTTATTTTTCACTGACTGACTAAGACTAACTGGAGCCCAAACACCTCTTCCTCTGATTCAGGCGTGAGTAGTTAATGTTATAAAACTGAAGTGATTCTTTGATAAAACTCTTTCATGTCAGCTTTTATCAGTTCGACCATTAACGTGACATTTGGTGGTTATACGTTTAATTATTTATTAGTACATTTACTTAAAACTACTTGAGACTAGAACACAAGTACTATTTTTGTGTTACGTAGATTTATAGAGCAATAAAAAACTGCACAATTATACACTAACGTGTTTGTGAGTCGTATTACCATATAGAGTACAGTGGTGTCCACAAGTGTTACCTATGCGACTAGACGCACAGTGGCCTTGAACTTGGCGACTGGAGATGCATCACATTTGCATTTAAATGCAGCTCGATGCGATTATCGACAAACTGGTTGCATGAAACTGCGACGCTGGCAACTGGTTTCTTGTACAAGTACAATCTAGCGGTTCGGTGCTAGTGAGCTTTATTTTTTTTTGTAAGGTATGCTGCATTCTTGTAGTGTAACTAGTATTAGGTTGTAGTTGAGATGTAGTTCTATGAAGACCTTTTCTTAATATGTACATAAATTTTTTGAAATTGCTGTTTGAATTGATACTTTATGTAAGCCACAGTCTTAATGGTGTAAACGTAATATAGTGCCCTCCTTAACGTGTTCCGATGTAATGGTCTAACTAAATGCGTTAATAAAACTATTATACTAACAATGTATACTAGTGTTTTATTAACGCATGGCCAAGCGTTTAAAAATTAAAGTTATGTAAATTAAACTGGTGTTTTTTACAGTTGTAAACTAATTATGTTTTTATGCCAATGTATTCAGATACATGTATCTATATATGCGATCTACCATAAGTAGGGCTTTGTGGTCTAGTGGTTAGTAAGCCAGGTTCGATTTTCAAATTATTGTGTGATGAGCACAATCAGTATTTTGTTCTGTGTCTGGCTGAATTTATCTATAAATATATAAGTAGAGTAAGTATCTTTAGAAATATATAAGTATGTTTATCAGCAGTCTGGTTACCATTGCTCTACCTAATTTGAGAGCAGGCGACCGTGTGTGACATGTGTTAGGTTATTATTGTTTGATAGTTTACATTTTTTAGTCCTTGTTGTTCTTTTTTGAAATTGATTTTTATTTTTTAACTTAATGCTTACAGATACTTTACCGCGCGTCTGTACTTTATCGCTTCGAAATGGGCGTGTACCAAATCAAATCGTAACCATAAATAAATGTATGGACTCTCCAACAATTTTCTGCACTCTCATATATTTTTCGTAGTAATATAGAGCATAGTATATCAGAGACGTTTTTAAACAATATTAAAGAAGACAAAAAATCGAAGCTAACTTTACAAAATTTTTTTTTTTAAATTGTTTCGAGTCTGTGTACTGTGTTGTACATTTTTAGTGATTTTGCACTGATTTTAGTTTGATATATTGAAATATATCAAACTAAAATCATGGCTAAAATCATGGCGGCACTAAAATCAATCATGGCTGTCAGACGTCCACTAAAGATTGAAATCTTTAGTGGACGTCTGACAGCCCTGATCACCCGTACCCCAGTTCTAACAATTGCTTGCAAGTTATATTACTTGCTTTCTTTTAAATTCAGTTTATCACCATTTCATTGGAAGATTCATGCCTATTTTAATGAAAACATGTAATAAAGTGACGGTAAACAAAATTAATTTTTATTTTTGTCCAAATTCTGATATTCCTTACTGGTTTTATAATTATAAGTAAAACTTTTAGATTCATATATAAGTGCAGGGAATAGAAATTATAATATCACGTATGTCACACGGCCATCTGAACCCAAACTAGGCAGGCTTAGCTATCCAGAATGCTGCCATACTTGTATACTACTAAATACATACATATATATTACACCATAAACCTCATATCTAAGGAGAGGCCTGTGTCCAGCAGTGGACTATTAAAGGCTATTGATAAAAATAATTACGATATTATACCCAAACACGTAATAAATTACCATGTTCATCACACAGGACTGCCGCGGTGGTGCAGTGGTAGCGTATGAGACTGCTGCTGGGTGTGTTTTCGGGTGCGTTTCCCGGGTCGGACTCGGAATGTTTGTATGATCTCCAAATATTTATTTCTGAGTTTGGTTATTTTCTATGTATAAGATGTAGGTATTTATAAAAAAAGTATATAAGTAACCTATCAGTCAATCTAGCTTTCATAGTAGAAGCTCTGTTTAGTTTAAAACCAGAATGCGTTGTGGGTTAGATGTTCGAAATATAATTGTTAATATATTTATTTATCTTATACACATAACATGAATCACATTTTTAAACACAAACAAACTTTATAAAAAAAAAACACATTAAAAGATATAAAAAATATTTGACCAAATTAATAAATAATATTATTATTATAAAAAAGCTTATATTAAGAGTTTAAGATTGAAGTTTAACTGCGAACTCAAGTTTTACTGCGAACTCAAGTTTTACATTCTCACTACAATAACAAAGATTTGTGAATAACTAGTCATTTCCCGAAGTTTCCCCGTGTTTCTGATCACTGCCCCGCTTCTTAGAATTGTAGCTTGATGTTAAAAGAAACCTGAAACTCTTAACCTGAAGAGCATACAATCAAATAGAAAACTAAACTTTCAAATCCCTCCGGTACCTTTTTTTAAGTCTTACTTATTCTTTATTTTATCCCTTGCTTAATTTTTTATATAATCAAGTTGAAATATTAAAAAGTACTCATAAATAAAGTTACAAAACTATTGAACTCAACGGGTAGTGGTTGGATGTCTAAAAATTATGTTATTTATTTTATTGTAATAAGAAAATGACGGCATCCAATTACTTAGGAGCATAATTTAACTTGTTTTTTTATTTCTCCTTCAGCGGTTATACAATTATGAATTAATTTACAAAAAATATATATGCAACTGCAGTTTTTAAAGAATTAGTGGCCAAGAAATGTCAAGAATGTGTGTAATAATTGCATTATTTATGCATTGTAATCTTAGAAGACCTTAATTTTCAATTATATTCGGTGAAGTAAACGTAATGGAATACCTAAGTTTGATATCTACTCAAACTATTTTTATTTGAAAATGAAATCAAAATTGAAATCGTCTCCTTTGTAGACTGTAAAGTCATAGATCAACAATCACAATAATAACAATTTATTTTGTCAAATATTTATCAAATTAAATAGATACCTATCGAAAATTCGTTATATGCCTGTGCCGATCTGCAACCGCCCGTTTAAAAGGGGTCGAGCCTTATGAGAAGATAGGGCAAACAAACTCATGGCCACTCTTTTTTAATTAACAGATAGATGCATTGGCATCATTAAACATACTACAATAAAGCTTCCTACAAAGAAAGAACGTAAGAAGAAGAAGTTGAACTATATTTGCCAGGGTTCACGAGGATTTCCTTTTTAAACCCGAACACCTGAGAGATGAGTAGCAGAGCTGGTAAGAACACTCTGATGTTTTAGTCGATTCGTGACTGATACAAAACCGTGTGTCTTTTTTTCCAAATTCTATATATTTTATAAGTATTGATTAAATGAGCTAAGAGCAACAAAAAATTGATCATAAATTTCTACTTATTTCAGTAAATTTTTGAACAGAACATTTTTGTACATAAATAAATTTTATTTTCGGATTTTCTTCTTCATAACTCTATGACAATGAACTTACAATTATTTTACTAATTAGTACGGCAAAAAAATCATTTGAATAAAAATGTCCTTTGTATATATTATTATAAAAACTATTGTCTAAGTAATTAGTGCTAAAATTAAATATTATTCCATGGCAAACTTTGTTATAATTTGTTGATGAACTTTTGTTATGTAAGGCACTTTAAATTTAAACAGTTTTTTAAATAATTAAATGTGTGATTAACACCAATTAATCAGTCATAGTTAGCTTTAACTTAAGTTCCATAGATTTTTTGACCAGATGGATGGACGGATGAGCTGGGTTCGTTGCTAAGTGGTAACCAAGTAGGTTGTTGCAAAGTTAAGCAATCCTAGCCACATAGTCAGGTCAGTCTATGGATGGGTGATCATTTCTTAACACATTGAGAACCCTCGCGCTTCGAAGAGCACGTTAATCCATCGGTCCCGGCAGTCGGAGTAAACAGTCAGAGAACAGTCTTTCTACAGAACTTCGATATCGCCTACTTGGGTTCTGGAGGTCTGATGACAGGCACTTTGTGTAAAAAATCGAAGTTTAGTCGTATGGTAGTAGACTTAAGCTGACCCCTACCTAGTTTGGGAAAAAAGGCTCTGAGGAAGATGGATGGACGGATGGAGTTTTTGAAGCTAACCACAAATAGTAAATCATAATTAAGACGTGAAGAGATTTCATTGTGTAAACCTAAATAAATACTTATTTTGTATTTATAAGATTAGTGTAAAAGTTAAAATGTATATACCTACATATATATGTTAAAAGTTTAAAACATATGCGAAAGTAGATAGCCGCTGGAGATTTGAAAATACTGGCTCTGAATATAAAAACAATGAATAATTTATTTGTACCGCCAAAAAGAGTAGTAAACTATAAGCTACATTAGTTTATGCCGTATAAAATCTAATTTTCTATTCATCGAGAATATAATATACATATTCTATTTCTAAACGGAAAGTGTGCTTTTACGTTTCCCCTACAACAGATATGTAGAATTTAATAGGTCGGTTAAATACTTAAATCGAGAAGGCATAACAAATAAGCCCATTCTTTTAGTATTACTTGGGAAATTTACTACTTCAGACTGATACATTGTTATTCTTTTAGATTTTGTCTCTCAAGCGATATGTACGTCAACGAAATGGTTACAGCTTTGTTCAGTTAGGTGATCACATAGTCATATATTTTGTAATTTGCATTAATTAATTCAAATGCAATAGTTAAACTTTTAATCAAGTTTCAGTCATAGTATAAACAGAATTAACTTTTGTTTAATGACCCAAGAAAGCATAGAGTGCTTTATAACAGCAGAAAGCACAGTGTTTTTTTTTTTTTTTTATTAATTTGTTCAAGAGGATTTTATTAATCGTCTGGCGTTTTTCGGTGTTGACTGTACCTGTAGACCGTTTCTCAAAACTGCCATAGAGAAAAATGACAAATAATAAGATAAAATGAAAACAAACGAGTTTTCCAGCGTTGATTTCTGAAGGATGTATTTCATAATTAAAATGTTATTAAATTGCACGAAAATGTATTATTTCCACACTGATATAATCGCATAATGTATAATAAGAATGACTATATGAATAAATATTAATATTTTACTTCGTCCGGTTTTTTATTGATATAATGTTAATTTGGTAATTTATTGTAGTTATTTTTTATATATTTTCGTACAAGTGTGTTTTCCCAAAGTTTGCGGATATGCGACTTGTTTGATTTAACTATTACATTATCTACCTACTAGAAGTAAATACCAAAAAATTGCAGAAGGTTAAGGTAGTGACATTGGTAGGTCATTTAAGTTCCTAATGAATGGATATTGTAATTAAATTGAAATCTTTATCAAAGGTTATTGAAAGTCACTTTAGCTGTATATGGTTATATGTGATCTTTGATTTGAGTGGTTATTCTAGTAATCATTTTTATTTGCAATACTCTAAGTCACTATTCTTTAAGCCTGTTGAAAACTATAAAAACGTTTTAATTTTAACCATATGTCAGACAAAGTGATAGTGTTTTGAAAGTAAATTTTCAGGAGCTCGAAGGACCAAAGTGTTTTTGTTTTTGTACCGTCTTAAAGGGAAGCCCGCAGCTTACAATTTTATCAGCTATGTTTCTCTCATCAAGGGTTTAGTTTTTATATGAAATAATTATATTTTAGTAAATATACTAGATAGGTTATAGGTTGTGGTATTCCAGATTTATGTATCTAGTAACCAGGTTAGTTTTTCGAAGTTGGAATGTCAGATGGTGATTACTATTTATTTGACTTCTATTGAAGTTCTGTATGATGCCGTGTCTTCTGAAAAACTAAAGAGAAAATCACACTCCTTAGATTTTTATTGTATTTCACTTTACTCTATTTATATTAAAGTTCATTTAAATATTTATGTCAATAATTATAAAGAATGGATTGGTTCCAATACATTTTTAAAATAATCTTACTTTATACTGAAATAAATATGCTATCTGAAGACTAAACTTAAGATGCTTTTATTGTTATAGTTTACTGATTTCGCAACTTTATCTATCAAGCTTGAAGGAGCAGAGTGAGAAGAAGAGTGCTAGACACTACTAATCGAACCTGTAACCTCATGATTACGAAGCTGGTGACTTAGATTGGGTTCGAATTCAAAACGTGTTTTGTAATACGTTTATTTATTAGATCATGTTTAGTATAATAAAATTTTGCATCACTTGTTTAAGTATAATTTTAAGCTGTATTAAAGTCGTTAATAATTAAGTTAACGATCGTCAAAAATGGAGTTTAAAAATTAATTAAGTAATATATAGTAACTTATATACAACCTTTTATTACTTGGTAACTATAATAACCTCGTATTTAGTATTTCGTGACGAAACTTGAATTGCTTTTACAGATTTAAATTAATTTTAAATAATAAAATATTTGTTTTATTACTATATAATTACCTATGTAACATTGGTGTATATTATTTATTCTGAAACTGTTTTTTTCGACGCTTTTTTTGCCACAGATAAAAATAATTATTCTTCTCTATTACGGGCTTTAGATCTTTCGATGTAGAACCCGTAATATTGTTGTTAGTTCTTAAATTATACATTAAAACTTTTTATGGTTTGCGTATAGTCTGTTATCGTAAAAGTTTCTAGACGGCAAATTAATCATACAATAGTTTATGGTTTAAACTATTTTATTATTCAAAACAATAAGTTCATTTCGTTAAATAATAGTAACTGTTGCTAATTTAATTAGAAAAAATAGTTAGGTATTATCATTAATTTTAATCAACGTTAATTATAAATTTAAGCTTATGTTTGTTAGTGCGGTGGTAATTTTTAAACCAACATTAATATCTTTTCAATTTATAAGATAATAGTTTTGTAAATTATTCATAAGTTAAATCAAATTAAAGCTTCTGAATAATGTAAAATCATAGTATAATTAATTATTGTGCTTATAACAAATTTATATACATTTATATTAATTTAAATCTTAATTGCGCTTACCTGTATGACAATAATCTTCTAAGTAGTGCCTAGCAGCTCGCTGCACTATCGAGTAATACAAGCTGACAGAAGATGCAAGCGCCATCTTCTCTTTTCTTCTTTTCTTCTTCTAAAGACTCCTTCCGTCTGTCGCTATTTCAGTTTGTTTGCCTATTTGTTACAGTTTTAAACAAAACATAACGTACGTAAACTCAAACTGTTTGAACTGCATTCGTTTGTTTGTGTGTGTAAGAAAAAGTAAAACTCGGAAAAACCAGTAAATAAAATCTAGTTTGAACTGCGTAAAGTTGCGGTATTCAAATTTATTTTTGCCGGAAAAAAATGTTTTTGTTAGACGAAAGGTCACGGTGTTCCATTTTTTTTAATGTCCAAAGTCACAATTTATTGCACTACCGCGCCGCATACTACCGCTGTCCAAAAGTCTACGCGAAATGAAACACGTAATATAAAATAATAGAATGGTTTTGGATGCGGGCGGTGCGCGCCGCAGTTGCTGCGAGACTGCCATTGCCCGTGTCGTTTTTTTGTTTCCCTTCGCTCGGAGGATGCGCCTCAAATAAGTTCGGATTATCCGATTATTTGATTGTGCTTATGTTTATCTACAAACTATTTACGATTTACACTTACATTTGTTGATGCAAAAAAAGTAAAATAATAGTCATTTAAAAAAAATGTACAAATGAAAGCTCATTCAGAGTAAAGACTAACTATCCCTAATTACAGAGTTAATTTAGAAATGTTATAAGAAAATTTGCAAATTCCAATTAGATTCCGATTAGTAATAACAAAAGCAAACAATGGCGGGCGGCGTGAAAACGCGGGAAAATAAGTTTCCCGCCGAGACGATCCATTCGAGACATGCGTACGTAACGCAATGTTTACGTGAGCTTTTTTTTTACTTCAGCAGTAATGTTTTACAAACATCTTAGAACTTTTAATATTTTTACTCTATTAATAGTTGTTTGACAAGGCCGTCTGTCTTCACTGCGTACTGTACACTGTATTTTAACTCTATCCAAAGGCACTGTCTATGCATTGTTCATAAAATAGAAGTGAAATAACAAAAAGTATTATACGTTTAATTAGTAAATTAACATGTTTATAAAATCCAATTTATGTAGATTTATTCATGCTTATTATGCATTTTTCAGTCTAAAGTGTAATATTTTTACTTATGTCATTTCTAAGATGGAACGGCTAGGTACCTAAGAATAGGATTTTTGTTGCTACGCCAACAAATCGGCTTATCGGTCGCGCTAACATAATCAGGAGCGGCGACGCAATTATGACGAAACCCTTTTTAAAAACGATTCGCGTAAAAATAAAGAAAAAATGAGAAAAATGTTCATCAACGCGACACGACACCCTCCCGCGACTCACCGCCGACCCCCACGTCCCCTTGCCCCGGGCGCCGGGTGGCGTGCGACTGGGACAGCAACACAATCTCATATAGCTATTTCGCTCGGTGCATCTCGCGCCACCAAGTTTCATACGAAAACTACCCGCGGTGCGCAGCTCTCTGTCTAAAGAGTAGAGTACTAACTCCATTTTGAGTAATTTAGATTTCAACTTAATCGCACCGTGATAAGATTGTTTTTAGAAGGTGATATAAGAAGGATATTCCGCGAAATCTCACACAGTCGAAGTTTTGGACTCTTGCAACTGTGAGGCACAAACACACTTAAACTAAGCTAAGTTTAGCCCTCGTACGTGCACGCTGCACTCACGCACACAAAGCCAACTTCCTTGTAGGGCTGTTTGTGTGTATGTCTGTTGCTGTAGTGTGTACATAAAAGTTCCTATAGAAGTTTTCAGAGGACTTTCTTTGTGTCAGTGATTTTTTTTCGCGGCGATGCGCGTGTGTGCGCGGGTCAGTGTGATTTTTTTCGAGTTTTTGTTACTCGTACAACGGTATGGTTTGTTTGTATGGGGTCGTTTGCTTGTGTGGGGGTGGACGCCCGTTCTTTGTGCCCGGGGATTGTAAAAAATGTCGTATTGGATTCTAGCAGCGCTAATGAATGATAGATACGAGTATGTATTCAGCCCCTGCATATTGCACCTCCTTTCGTCTAAAAATCTGATGTGGGATTTGCAAATGTAATCCTTTTTTCAGTTCGGTTCTGAAATTTTGTATTAATGCAATTCGTCATGAGTTTTAACAGATCAGCAGTGAGACAGATAGATATGTAGGTGCTTTTTGGAAATTAATTTGTTTGTTCCTATATATGTATTAAAAAGACTTCAACGCGTAACTGTTTAGCTACGAATAGATATTTTTTTAATTTTGATATATTCTTGAATTTATTAAAATTCACATAAGTCTTACTCAACTAACAAGGTTATTTTTAATATACCCAATGGCGTCCAATGTCTCAGGTGAAAATCCCGTGATATTTTATAACAAAATGGTATTAAAATTAATTCAAGTGGTATATTCAGTATTGTAACGCAAATGGACGGGTGTGGTGGCGATACACTGATGCAGTTCAATGCATGAGCATGCTTGCGCGTTTGAACAACTGGACAACTATTGTAACATGTCACGAAGTAAGTTATCGATCTCCAACTGCACGGATGGCGTAGTGGTTTAAGCGGTCGCCACGCCGCTTCCTACTACGCCGAGTGTTGTGGGTTCAAACCCGACGACACTTAGTGTGATCCACAATTGTTGTTCTGAGTCTGAGTGTTCTCTATGTCCGTTTCATGTATGTTTGTAAAGTCCCCCGCGACACAGGATATATTCCTAATGCGGGCGTTGCCTTTTAAAAAAAAAGTATTTTTAAATAAAAATATCCAACCTAAGGAGAGGCCTATGTCCAGCAGTGGTCTAGTATAGGCTGTTGATGATCCATTAGGATTTCCACCACATTTTTCCATCCAAAAAAAATACTTCTGCATTATTGTATCGGTTGATCTTTACAAACGATTAATCAAATGCTTAACAGGCATACCATTTATTTTCGATTTTCGTATTCTATATTGAGCTCAGAGTCTTACAAGGAGGATTACCAACACCACTTGACAAGTCAATATTCTGGACAGGTAGACAGAGGTCTTCTTAGAAGTCGTGGAGTCCTTTATTCAGCAGTGGACATCCTAAGGCTGAAATAATGATACCTTTCCTTCAGGAATATTAATTGTTAGAAACAACTACATAGGCACAATGAAAGTGTAACTATTTGATCATACCAATAAGACCACGATCATTTTCATGATCTTTAAAATATCTGAATAAATAGTGGGAAAAGGATCATTTGGTGAAAAACGCAAAACGACTCCCACTTTTGAAGCATCACTTCAGGGGGTTCCGTCACAAAGTACACTTCGCAAATGCTGCATTACGATTCTCAAATGGAGCATGCTTACTTAATTAAGCATACATACAAAATAAGAATCGGACTGCACGGATGGCGTAGTGATTTAAGCGGTTGCCACGCCGCTTACTACTATCCTGAGTGATGTGGGTTCGATCCCGTCATGTGACGACATACATATTGTTGTTCTGAGTCTAGGTGCTCTTTGCGTGCGTTTTATGTACGTTTGTACAGTTCCCCACGACACAGGATATATTCCTAATGCGGGAGTTGTATTTGAAAAAAGAATATTTTAAAATAATGTAATTTATTTGTACTTATTTAACTTATATACTCGTATATATATTCCTATAAACAATTAAATATGTTATGATAAAAACTAGGCGACTACATTTTTCTAAAAGAGGAGACATGGAAATTATTGCTACTTTTAAATCATATTCATTTGATGAAATGATTGATTTTAGTAATTTCATTTTCACATGTGGTTGTGATTTCGTCATAGACAAAGATAAATGTCATTAAAATCAATTTCAAAAAATTCGTTGTATCGAAGATGACAACCCTTTTTTTTAGATTTAGGCTCTCGCGGGTTTTGTGCTAGCGTAATAATAATAGATTTAATTTTTATTATTATTTGAGATAATAATCATATAATCACATAGGTATGTGATTATGAGATTTATATTTCATATGATTTGTCACATGTGATTTTGATTTTATTCCATCCCCATAAAAGAGTGAGGAGCTTAACTCACATAGCAACAATGTAAATAATACGAGTACGTAAAGAAAATTGTTTGAATCTTTTCTAACAGAATTTAGAATTTAATATATACATACTCGTACAGTTGAAAATTTATATGTAGAGGTGCAGATTGACCTGTTATGATATCGTATTTATAAACCACTCAGTTTTAAGGATACTAATGTCAAAATAAAAACCTTACAAATACCATTAGGATTAAAGAACTTCTGATTAACTGATCCCGAAGGTATAAATACTTTTGACCCGTATTGTTCTGTTGTACAGAATGTATCGTACAGTATTGTATTGGGTCGGTCTTGCAAGTGAAAATAATATTTATTACGTTACACTAAAGATCCATTCGTGTTTATTTACGAGCGAAGTAAGCACAAAAATTGCAAAAAAGTGAAAAAGAAATGAAAAAGTGAAAGTCCTTAAACTTTCCGTATAAGCACAGGCTATGAGCTTCAAGACTGACTGATGCTGACGGACTGAACAATGAAAATTATCTATATTTTGTTTATTTAAAATTAAAAGCTTTGATTTCATTTACAACCGGTCTGGCCAGCGTGGTATAGTAGACCAAAACTTCCTTTCTAAGGAGAGGCCTGTGTCCAGTAGTGGACTACTGAAGGCTGATGATGATGACAACCTATTTAGCAATTTCTGATTACCTTCTCTTTTCCTTTTGTTCTTGTTTCTTCATATTTTAATACCCTCGTGCCTCAATATTTGAGCTATCGTGAGATATTATTCTCATTTTTATTCTAGATCTTTATGATCGCTGCAGCTCCACTATGTACTCTTACTCAGCTTCTTTATCTTCAGGATTTAGGAAATAGTTTGGTAGCCTTTCCTGTCAGTCTATGCGAGGGACTCAGGGCAGATAGAGAATATCTATTGTTTTAAAGCATCTCCTTTTATTATTGATATCAAATCAATTACAATAAACAGGCCATGGAAAGCTCAGACAATTATGTAGTTGTTTTTTCAGTTCATGCATACAATGCATACTATTTAAAGTTTTATGTTGTTTTAATTTCATGTAAAATACATTAGTATCGTCTCATTCAGAGTTGTTTATTTATTTTTTAAAGGCTTACTAGCAACTGAAATTACTAGTAATTCCGTTAACACCTCCAGCTAAGCTAAATTGCTTGTGTTAGGAGTGGGCTCACGTTGGTAGTGTACTGGTCAGGATTCGAACCTACGACCTTTTGATCGCAAGTCCAATGCCTTAACTAGACACTAGGCTACCGCCGCTTATTTGTTTGGTTGATTGTTGTGGAATCTTGCAGTGTGGTTTTAAATACTGAATTATTTTTAATTTAATTAAGATAGCTTTTGGATTATCGCGTTAAAAAGTAAACTTTGTTACTCGCTTTCGACCAGTGGAAGAATTAAAATCGGTTTAGTGGTTTAGGCGTGAAAGCGAAACAAACAAACAAACTCACTGTTTCTTTTACAATATAAGTATGGAAGTGTGGATTATTGTTTTTAGTTCTCCATAGGGCTCAATAAGCAATATCACCACGAGAATACGCTTCCGCAAGAGAGCCACAGGTTCTTATCACACATCAACAGCCTTAAATAGTCCACTGCTGGACATAGGCCTTTCCTTAGAAAGGAGGTTTTGGTCTACTATACCACGCTGGCCAGACGGGTTGGTATAGGGTTTGTTTCAAGTTTTACTTCTCTCTGCAGTGCTGTTGTTCTGCGTAGTTTTTTCCCTTAGTCGGCTCTTAGGACACCAACGGGATGAATAGGGGTGGTGACACTCTGTATTCTTAATCCGTCACTACACGGATTCTACGTTCTACGTAAGATTAAGAACCTACTCGTTTTACTGACATAATACCTCCTTGGTACCGTTCACTGCCAAATATAAGTGCAAAAAAATCTATCGTCTATTTATGAGACGTATTTAGTATTTTATTTGAACATAACAAGAGGCAAGGAAAAGTTTCTAATGTTATTATGATTTGTTAAAGAATGTAGTGAAAGGTGTACAACAGTAATCAGTTCATACAGAGATCGTATTTAGACATCATCTTGATGACTACCTAGTTGCGTTCACATTTTGTTTAATTAACTTTTGCAGAAGGATTTATTTGTCCGTGTGGTGACGGATTAAGAATACGGAGTGTCGTACGAGACCACTAAGGGAGCAAACTACGCAGGACAACAGCACTGAAAAGAGAAATAAAACTTGAAACAAACCCTATACCAACCCGTCTGGCCAGAGTGGTATAGTAGACCGAAACCTACTTTCTAAGAAGAGGCTTATGTCCAGCAGTGGACTGTTAAAGGCTGTTGATGATGGTGAAGGTTTTATTCGTGTAAATGTTGATTTTTAATCACTTAGAGTGTAAAGTACGTTGCACCAATGTGTACGTGTAATGTCACGATTAAATAGTTACGGCGTGAAAACTTATCAGATTAACTCAAGAATATATATATATATATTACTATCATCATCATCATCA